TGGTAGTCGTAGTGGTAGTAGTAGTGGTAGTAGTAGTGGTAGTAGTGTAGCAGTGTAGCAGTGTAGAAGTGTAGTAGTGTAGTAGTGTAGTAGTGTAGTAGTGTAGTAGTGTGGTAGTGTAGTAGTGTAGTAGTGTAGTAGTATAGTAGTATAGTAGTATAGTAGTATAGTAGTATAGTAGTATAGTAGTATACTAGTGTAGTAGTAGTAGTAGTAGTAGTAGTTGTAGTAGTTGTTGTTGTTGTTGTCGTTGTCGTTGTTGTTGTTGTTGTTCGTAGCAGCAGCAGCAGCAGTAGCAAAAGTAAGAATACCTCTGATGGCAAAGAACAGTTGTAGATTGATTGAGCACTCTCCTCATCCACAAGCGAATACCTTTGGGAAGTGAACCTGTCCGTCTTGGTCATCGTGACCAAAGAGCCCATGCTCTCGCTGGGAGTCGTCTGATTGCTCGTCATTGTCTCCCGCACTGATGAACGGTGTCCCATGGATCCAGCGCTTCTTTGAGAAGGCCCTCGGTCATATCGCAGGGAGTCGGTATGGTGGTGTGCCATGCTCTCGCTGGGAGTCGTATTCTGATTACTCGTCACTGACTCATGCACTGACGGTTGGCATCCCGTGGATCCAGTGCTTCTCTGCGAAGTGTATCTCAGGGAATCGGTGCGGTGATGTTCGGCAGCCGTCGCGAACGACGTGCTATCAATTTTTTGTTCAGACGCTTGTAAGTCAATGTGCAGGTCTGCAGAGATGATGGCAGCAGCTGCCACCTCATCCAAATCTGCGATGCCTTCTGAAGGAGCCTCATCACTACTCTGGAGGCGCTCCACCGCCCAGACCCCAGGCGGCTCATCCGCAGCTGCGGGACAGCAAGGAGCACCCTTACATCCGGGTTCTGCCCTTGCGTTCCGCATTGTCCGCTCAATGCCCGGTGCAACCATGGGCGCTGCACCCATGGCGTCAAGAATTTGTGAGAAAATTCTTCAGCCCCTCAACAAGAAAAGCCTGAAACACCGGGACCGAAAAAGCCTCAACCTTCAGACCTACTTGCAGCGTGGGGCTTGGGGCTCTTCTTCCAAACTCTAAGCCCTAATACCCCTAAACCCTAAACCCCTCATAGTAGCCCTTCGATCCCCCTTTAAAGGAACCCTTCAACCCTAAGAACCCTCATCCCTTCTAGTAGCATCCTTTTAAGGGGAACCTTAAGCCCCTAGAGCCTGCAACCTCTTCAACCCTTCGAGCCAGAGTAAAAGCGACTCTCTCATGGCCATGGCTCCCGGTCTAGGGATGCTTACGGTTTAGGGCTTAGGGTTTAGGGTATATAGGGTATAGGGTTTAGGGTATAGGGTATAGGGTATAGGGTATAGGGTTTAGGGTAGGGTATAGGGTTTAGGGTTTAGGGTACAGGGTTTAAGGTTTAGGGTACAGGGTTTAGGGTTTAGGGTATAGGGTAGAGCGTTTAGGGTATAGGGCTTAGGGTATAGGGTAGAGGGCTTAGGGTATAGGGTATAGGGTTTAGGGTATAGGGCATAGGGTTTAGGGTACCCAGCGTATAGGGTTTAGGGTTTAGGGTATACCTGAACCCCAAAGAACCTCGATTCTTATGAGGAACTCATACTACAGCAAGGAACCCGACAAATCGCGGTTTCTTGGGGTCCAGGTGGGGTGTGGGGCAGGGGCTTTGACTTGAGGTTTCAAGCTTCTGGACTTTCAGCATCGGCCGCAGGGGTTCCGGGTTCCTTTGTAAGGGGATGCTACTACAAGGCCTGACGGGTTTAGGGTTTACGGGTTTAGGGTTCCTTTTAAAGGGATGTATACGGCTACTATAAGGGTTCAGTAGGGGTTTAGGGGTTTAGGGGTTCCTCTTAAAGGGATGTAAGGGCTACAAAAAAGGTTTCAGGGATGAACAGCTTCCGCTGCCAAACGGCCTCGGCTCCTCTGTCCTGAACCTGAAACTCCGAACAACAACGGAACCCTAAGCCCTGAAACTTACGGTTTAGGGTTTAGGGTTTGGGGTTTAGGGCTTAGGGAACCCTAAGCCCTGAAACTTCGAGCTCTGAACCGCAAGCCGCAAAACCCCAAACTCCTAAAACACCGAAACCCGAAAGCACCAAAAAAACCTAAGCCAGCCTGGACGAACTCGCAGAAGAACTTAGAACAACGGCACAGAACCTTGAAGGCCCGTCGGACAGGCGTCCCATCTTCTAGTCAGCACGACTGAACTCACAGTGAAGGCTCCCCGTCTTTTGCCAGAGCCTACGCCCTTAACACACCAGGAGCTCTAAAAACCCTGAGCTCTACTAAACCCTAAACTCTAAACCCTAAACTCCACAAGCCTTAAATTGAGCCTTTTTGGTCCTCCGACTGCAGTCCCAAGTGGTCGGGTCTGCTGACTAATCGCGACCGCACGTCGAGCTCGGATTGCTGGGGCTTCGAATTCAGGATTTTGGGTTTGGGGTTCAGGGTTTGAGCTGGGGTCTTAAAGCCTTATGCTGGGCCATACTTAGGCCGTGTGATATTTAAGTTCCACTCTTGCAGGTGTGTACACATGTACATATTTGGCGATATGCGAATAAGGGCAGAACACCAGCTTGCCAGACAGGAGGGGGGGTTACCCTAAACCCTAAATCCTAAACCCTAAACCCGAGGTCAATAAATCCTAAAACCTTTTCGCTCCCTTCGGCTCAGGCTTCAGGCCCACTAAAGCCCAAACCCCCAACACAGACCCTATAGCCTGTAAGCCCTACCTGGACTCCAAGAAACCAACATGTCCCGGGTTCCTTGCCACACTTTCCTCATATAAGCCCGTAAAAAATGTAGGTATTTTTGGGGTTTCAGGTATTGCCGAACAATTTCGCTCCTAGATGAGTTCAAGGCCTCAGGACCTCGGGTCAGGACATGAAAAGCCTGTCCCCACAAAAACTATATCCTTTAACTCCACAACCTCCACAGTTACGACCCAGAAGCCATAAGAGCCCTACACCCTACCAGTTCTAAAACCTGCGGAAGGGCCTTAGATGGGTTTTTGGGGTTCCTTTATAGTATAACTATAATAAGGAAGCCGGAGGAATAATGTTTATTTATATTTTATAACCATAATAAGGAACCCTAAGGAATAGTGTTTAGAATTATTTAGTAATTACCCATAGGTTCCTAAGTAGTTCCTTTTAGGGATTACCTTATCGGGTTCTAAATATGAGCCACAAAAAGGAACTACTTAGCGGCCTGTGGGTAGTAACTACCTTTCCTTTGAGGCCCCGGATTCATGCGTTGAGGTCCCGAAGTCGTCGAGGCGGCACAGCCGCTCCTGACGTGAGGGATCGAATGAGGGCTTAGGGTCGTTAAAGGTTTTGGTTTAGGGTTTAGGGTTTAGGTCTAGGGTTTAGGGTTTAGGGGTTTGGTTTAGGGTTTAGGGCTCAGTTTAGGCTTTAGGGATCGACTATACGGATTAGAATATGGGCTTAGGGTTCAGCGCGGTCAGGGTTTAGGGAGTACCGTAGAGGGTTATGGGGTTCCTTGGTAAAGGGCTCTATCCGGAGTACTATAGAGGTTTGATTAGAGTAGGGTGTTGTAGGGTTCCTCTGTGGGGGCTCTACAGGGGTCATCTAAGGAATCTAAGGATTTACTATGATTGCCTCCATAGTTAGAACAGCTTTAAAGAATTCTTGCAAACGGTTTTTCAAAAGTTCACCACAGGGCTTTTTATCAGGGCTTAACATCGGGACCTTGATACACAGAATAGGGCTTCGGCGGTATATGCCAGCATGACTATAGAGGAGCTGTAAAGGAACACGATTATATACTATGCCAAAACCCTTTATAACCCTTCACTCGCGCTATCGGCCGTAAACCCCACTTTATGAACTATAGGGTCCACGTATCAACCTAATAGTAGTTACTGTGGCCGCCATTTACCTATATAGGGACTACCTTTAGGCCAAAGTATAACCATGGACACCTTAGCCCCTGAAACGCCACATCCCTAGACGCCCAGAGGGATTCAGGTTCGCGGAGGATAAAGGTCTCGGCTCTGGGTATCCGCTGAGTAGCAGACGATTGGCCCAGATGTGCCTGTGACGTGGAACTCATTATTACCACTTATCAATACAATATGCCCCAAAACACGAAGCTTCCTTAGAGCGCCTTATTATAAAGATACAACATGTTGCGGCCCCTAAATGAAAGCACTGCGCACTCACACCTTAAACTTCCCAACCCCTCCCGACAGTCCGCCCAAACCCACAAGTCCCTAAACTCAAGGACCCTAACCCTATTAGGCCCCCAAAATATTCCTCGGCCCGAAACCCCAAAAACTCGAAACACCAAGTCGCGAACCCTCAGCCCTATCTCTGAAGCCTTCCAGGTGGTGGCCTAAGGCCCTTACCCATAGACCCCTTAGTAGTTCCTTTTTGGGATTACCTTGTGGGATTCTAAATATAAACCATAAAAAGGAACTACTTAGGGGCCTATGGGTAGAACCATAATAAACCTAAAGATGACATAATACTTTAAAATCATCCTTTGGAGTCGATTAGTCTATTGAAAAGTATACTGAAAAAAACA